TTTGTTAGAACATAATGGATATATGTTTCTACACTTCCTTAAGGTATTGTACCTATATAGCTCATTTAAAAATTTAATGTGAAGTTCTAATGCTTGAAAGTTATTATTACAAACGATTGAGGATAATTAAGAAATGCAGGTTAGTAGTTAGTCACGTATAACAATCAAACTTATAGCCAGATTTGTTATGTTTTCAAGGTCAAACAGATATATTTTAGATAGCTAGATGATCTTCAAATACTTCAATGGTCTACAGAATATGGCATTTGATATATTTTAATAACATAAGGCTTTTAATGACAGTGAGCTACATCTGTTCCTGGCAGCACCAATTTACTTCAGAGAAGATGATGGGCATCGAAGAACCTCCATATGGAGTTTGCTTTCATTTGTGGCAAAAGTTAGCCATTGGGCAAGAAGCTGCCCTTGCTGACTGTTGACAGTATGCTGTCCAAACTGGACAAACAGGACACAAAAGAAAGGATTGCTCAACTTTGCCAAGACGAAGTAGGACAGTCCTTCAAAATTCCTACTTCTGTCTGTCAGACATTCTAGGCCTATAAGCTGAAAAGATGGATGCCCCATTACCTTAGGTGACTGTCTAGGCAGCCAGATATCTCTATTATTTCTATAGTTTTAGAAGCTGTTTGTTCTGTACTTTCTGCTTACAGATAATATTTCATCCTTCTCTGGTCTCTGATGGTATTGAAGACTAGGTAGTTATACCATTTTCTTTGTTACCAAATTCAGAAAAGAAACTTACAAAAGAGATGTAAAGTGTATAAGGATGAGAGATATAAAAGCTTAAGTGGTTTATCTAAGAAAATGTTTCAAGGTCTAAAAAGGTACTTTTAGGATGGTAATACAAGTTATGATAAAAAGTGGTTTAAGTATAAAACTGTGGACTCATGAAGATAGGATAGATAATAATTTCTCTGAATTTGCCAAATACAAATGGACTGGACATTGTGAATGTAGTTCTTACCTAATAATTGTTCTTACTGTATAAAGTTTTACTGTGATAGTTAAATCCTTTCCTTTTTATTTAGACAAAAAGGGGGAAATTTGATCATACTGTGACAGTCCAAGACTGTCAATAAGGTTAGCCTTGAATCAGGGGGTCAAGAACAAGCTAACCGGAATTAGCCATAGAGATTTTGGAAAACACAGGATATGAAACAACAGAGAAGCATAGGAAGGAATAAGGAGGGGCTTAGAAAGGTTCAGGGGCCTTTCAATCTGGGAAGCCTAGAGATCAGGGTCAGCTGGTCATTCCTCTGCTGCTTTCTTGATCTGTCAGGTTTTTGCCCCAATATCTGACTCCTGAGTTATTATTAATGATAAAATAATTTAGATAAACACTTCAGTGCTGTGGGGACCAGAAGAAGGGATTAGATCCTCTGGAGTTGGAGTTATAGATAGCTGTGAGCCACCATGTGACTGCTGGAAACTGAACTCAGATCTTCTTCAAGAGTAACCAGTGCCCTTAACAACTGAGCAACCTCTCCAACCCCATTTATTACTTTTCATAAGTAAGAAAATACAAAACAATGACTGAGGATGTAGTTTAGTGGGAAAACATTTCCCAGCATGCACAAAGCATCGAATTTGATTTCCAGCAACTAACTCACATATACTCTCTCTCTCCCTCTCCCTCCCTCCCTCTCTCTGTCTCTGTCTCTCTCTGTCATCTCTCTCTCTCTGTCTCTCTCTCTCTCTTTCTCTCTCTCAGGGACAGAGAGCACATGTCAGACCCAAGTCTTTCTCCCCCAACATCTCTAATTATTCTAATCCACTTATAATTTTGAAGAATTGGTGGTCTCCAAATCCAAGCCTGGTTAAGGTATACTTGACATTGTCTCAGCTGAGAAAACCATAAGCCATACTCTGGATTGAGGCTCCAATAAACTCTAATAAAGTGGTTTTTTTTCCAAACACTTCCATTAAAATACTGCCCTGGACCAGCAAAATGGCTCAGCAGGTAAAGGTGCTTGCTGCCAAGCCTGATGACCTGAGTTTGACCCCCAGGACCCACCCAGGAAAAGGAGAGACACAACTCCCATGAACTGTCTTCTGACCGGCCTTGCATGCCATGGCATATGCATCGACACGTAAACACACAAATGAAGAAAGTGACCACAGGATAGATAGATGTTTTAATGAAACAAATGCTGCCCTGCGAGGGGAAGGAGGAGAAACAGGACGTGAGAATGAGCCTGAAACTCAGGCCTGGCTGTGAGCCACGTGGGAAACAGCTACTTAAGACAAAACATCTCCATTTATCCCCAAATGCCTCAGGCTCTAGAGGTTTGGAAATTGAAGTTCCAAAGCTTCTTTAATGTTTAAATGGCCTACATTTTTTTTCCTCTCTCTCTCTGTTTAGTGACTTCAAATGGAAGCCCAAAGTGTGCTGGTTTTATTATTCCCCGATGTGTAAAGAACACACTAGCACACAATGTTAACACATGAAATGGTTGGACAATCCCCACAATTTAATGCAGGTGGCACCTTAAAACCAGAAGCAGAATATTCTCTCCCCAAAGTGATGCCTGCACCCTAATCCTCAGAACCTATGACTCTGTCAACTCACTATGGCAAAGTACTCTGGGGATAGGGTTAATGTCTTCATGTGGCACCATGATGGTGGCCCAGGGCCCACCATGACACACATTCCCCACAGGAAGGTTGGGAACAGCTCGCAGTGGGAAAAAGGCTGACTGACTTTGAAACTGATGACATGGAATAGGTGACATGGAAACCGAGGTCAGCAACGTGGACAGACGAGACCCTGGAAGGGGCGAGAAGTGACCAATTGTATGAATAATAGTGGCATGAAGGATGAGGAGGGGACTTTAACATTCTGTCCTATAAGGACACATTCGGATTCCATGCTGAGAATCTAGACACATATATGAACAGCTTCACACATGCATGCTGTTACTAGTTTGTTCTAGGTTAACCTCTCTACCATCGCCCTGGTCTACACTATTCACATTCCAAGCAGAGACTGAGCGCAAGTATCCAAATGAAAGCGTAAGAACCTGTAACAAGAGACAGGGAGGCTGGGAAGATGGCCCAGTGGTTAAGAGCACTTGCTTCTCTTGCAAAGGACCTGGGTTCAGCACTCACATGGCCACTCACAGTCACCTAGAAGTACAGTTTCAGGGGATCCAAGGACCTCTTCTGGCCTCCAAGGACACTAGACAAGAACACAATTTACAGACTTGCATGCAGGCAAAATGCTCACACACATAAATTAAAAAACAGGACAGACAAGGACACCATGGGTCTCAGAAAACTGCCCTGACACCTGCCTGAGCTCCAAATGGGCTGCTTTGTGCCTAACTCCACCCCTAACCCCCATAATGCTTGCTGGCTGCAAATGAGATGTGAGACGAGATGTTAAGATGTAATTCTACTGTCATCTCAGATCACAGACTGAATAAAGCACATCTTAATTAAAGCTTCCGTCCCTGCCTCTGCTCACTGGCATTTATGGTGAAAGACAACATGAACACTGATATTCCAGCAACACAAATATACCCTCTCCACACGCGTCTGTGTTCGCTTGCTTGTGTGTGTGTCTGCTGTATGTTATGTGCAGGTGCCTACAAAGGCCAAAAGAAAGCATCAGATCCCTGGGAGCTGGAGTTCCAGGCTGTTGCAAGCCTCCTGACATACAGCAAACTCAGGTTCTCTAGAGGAGCAGCAAGTGCTCTGAACTGCTGAGCTGTCTCTCCAGCCCCCATTTGCTCTTTTAAAGGGAGACTCTAATTCTAAGTCTTTTGTTCCTCTGTAGCAAATACTGCAGAAGTTAGATGTAACAATATTACACACACAAAGACTGAAGGAATAGACCTGAAGCACTGAATCTGTAGTTATTGTGGAGTAGAATATTTGTTTAACTATGTAAAGATGTGTTCCATTTGTTTATGCTGCATTTGTTCATCTGTTTCACCTTGCCTGCCTAAGGCACCTGATTGGTCTAATAAAAAGCTGAGCAGCCGATAGCTAGGGAGCAGAGGGACAGGAGGGGCTGGTGGGCAGAAGGAATAAGCAGGAGGAGGAATCCAGGAGTGAGAGAGAAGGAGGGAGAAGGAGAGGGAGATGCCAGGGCCAGTCAGTCAGGTAGCTGCCAAGCCAGCCAAATACAGAAACAGCAGAAAAGACATACAGAAGAAATAAAAAGATAAAAAGCCCTGAGGCAAAATGTAGATGAAGAGAAACAGGTTAAAATAAGCTATAAGAGCTATCTAAAAATAAGCGTAAGCCAAGGGCAAGTACTCATAACAATAAAAAGGTTCCGTGTCGTGATTTGGGGGCTGGCAGTCAGAGAAAGCTGAAACATATAGTTTTCTGGAGAAGGCCGTCTTCCAGAAATGCTCGAGCAAAGGTTGTCACTGTGAGTGGAGAGCACCTGGGGCTCGTGGGAGACCCTTCACATCCCCCATATCTCAGAGGCCTGTTGCTGGGTTCAACCTTCCTAACCCTTCCAGGACATCGTTGAAAGTCACTTCACTTCCCAGGAGTGTCTCTGTCCTGGCTGTGACATGTGTGTCACAATTGATTCAAACCCGGGAAGAGCCGCAGCATAGTTAATCCTCTTCTATACATCGAGGGGCATTCTGAATTAGGGCCAAGTCCACCCTGAAACTGGCCAGCACATCTCCAATGCTCTTTTATTTCTTGCCAACTGCACACAGTCTGGGAGACTGGCCAGGCATTACCAATGCAGGGCTTTCCTCCACCCCTTCACAGCAGGTACACCTGCCGTCCATGGCAACTGAGAGGATCAATGCCAGGACCACCCTGCGGCTGGAGAGGAGCAGAGCTTGGGGGTACTGGTTCACAGCACAGTCCCACTCCCTGTCATCACTGACACCACTGTCTTAGAGGGGCCACAAGTAACACCAACAGCTAGTACATTTACAGAGCTAAACCACAGAGAGCTATTCCCCCTAGACCACCACCAGTCAGGAAGGACACCCAGACTGACTTACCCGCCGAGCTTACAGTCCCCAGTTCCACCTTGCCAGGCTCTGACATACTTTGGATTGGCCCACAGTGACACTGGATTAAAGGTTCCGCTAGAAAAATAAGGTCCCACAGGGCTCAGGATCACAAAGAGCAAGGCTCTGGATGGCTTCTTGACTCCAAGAGATTGCTGTAATAAAGAGAAAATGCACACCTCTGTAATTGACAATGGAACATCCTTCTTAAAGTCTAGAATAGACCTGTGCCCACCTCCCAGAAGGGGTACCCAACCAAAGTCCAGTGACACAAAGCCTTTTTTTTTTTTTTTTTTGGTTTTGACACAAAGCCTTTTAAAGAAAACACTGACAATGGGTATTTAAGTTCTGGGGTGGGAGGGGCAGGACCAGAGGGAACACAAGCTCAGTAGGAAAGGCACTTGCTGCCAAGCCTGCAGACTCAACTCACTTGTGACGATCCCTGCACATCACACGGTGGGAAGAAGAGAACTGCCCCCACCCTGCACACAAATAACTGTAATTTTAAAAGCTTTAAGTTTCATTTTGATTTGCTTTCTGAGTTATGATTTTAGAGGGAAAAAACACATCTTTCGGTTGCAGTTGCTGCTATTGCCCACAGCAGGTGAGGAGTCTGTCTCTAATCCCTTCAACTCTTCTCCCAGCCTGCTGCTGGGCACTCCAGAACATGTGAGGACAGTGAGCGGAGAGTAGATGGGGAGTGAAGCTGTGATCACACCTGCCTGGAAGGTACCGAAAAGGCAGCAGAGGGGGTAGCTTTTCTAGAGGCAAAGACAGACAGGAGAAATAACATCAAAAGGGCAGGAGAGAATGAGCCAGACCTCACATCATGAACAGGGAGCTGGAGAGGTGGTCCAGCAGCTAACAGCACTGGCTGCTCTTGTAGGGGACCCAGGCTCAGTTCCCAGCACCCACATGGAAGCTCACAGCTGTTCATAACTCGACTGTCAGGGGATCCAGTGCCCTCTTCTGGCCTCCACAGGTACTGTACACACATAGCGTACATACAAAAATGCAGGCAAACAACCGTGCACATAAAATAAAAATAAATAAATCTTTAAACAACAAATAAATAAAAGATAGCCTTTTCTACAAGTACCAAAAACCTACAAATTCCTCCAACATGAGGGAGGCTCTTAAGTCCGGTCAGTGGATTATTAAAGACTGAAAGTCCCGGAGGCCGAGTGTCATAAAGGGAGAATGTCTCCAGTCAGCTATGTAGTGCAAGACCTCAGGAACAGACAAACCAACCAGGATGGCCCATGATGGGCTAACCACTGAGGCCTGCCCTGGCCACGCCGCTGCGGCCTGCCCTGGCCACGCCGCTGCGGCCTGCCCTGCCTGCATCCCAGTGGATGGCAGCCATAAAGAGCAACAGTGACTCTGGATGCTGCACACCTTATGCTGTCTGCGTGACAAGCTGATGCTGGGCTCTCAAGTGGCCTTTTACTTGCATTTCCAATACACCTGCCTCTACTGCACACTGTCTATCAGGGCCCACCCATTAAGAACCAGGTGGTAGCTGGGTGGAGACGTTGCACGCCTTTAATCCCACTACTTGGGAGACAGAGTCAGGCAGATCTCTGAGTTCAAGGCCAGCTTCGTCTACAGAGTGAGTTCCAGAACAGAGAAAGCCTGGCTTGAAAAAAAAAAAATAGGAGGAGGAGGAGGAGGAGGTGGAAGGAGAAGGAGAAGGAGAAGGAGAAGGAGAAGGAGAAGGAGAAGAAGGAGAAGAACTGGATGGTAAATATCTGTAAGCCTTGAAAAACTCTGTTGGCTGATGAGATGGCATATTTGCCATGTAAGCCTGAGTACCTGAGTTCAATCCCCAGGACCAATGTTAAAAAGCCAGATGTGGTGGGATGTGTCTGTAATCCCTGCACTCCTCCAGTGAAGTGGGAAGAGGAGACAAGACAATCTGCCAGAAGCTTGTTGGCCGGCTAGCCTGGGGTACACAACATGGCAGCCAGATCTCACCTCAACAAGGTGAAACGAGAGAACCTCAGAAGCTGACTTCTAGCCTGTACACCTGTACTTTTGTGCCATGATGCGAGCACGCGCACGCGCGCACACACGCACGCACGCACGCACACACACACACACACACACACACACACACACACACACACACTGCCTGTGTAGGTAACAATGTCACCTAAAAGCCTCCACCTCTCTCTATCAGGAAGACCAAGCAGGGGTCCGAGACCCTACAACAAACCGATGAACTGTGACTGAGCCAGAGACCAGTCAGGGAGCCCACAGAGCCTTTGCTTTGGGGCTGGTTTGGGGTTGGTTTTTGCTGTTATTGGTTTGGTTTGGTTTTTTGAGGGGGAGCAGTCTCTCTACATAGTCCTGGCTATTCTGGAATTTATAGAGATCCGCCTCCTCTGCCTCCTGAGTGCTGGGATTAAAGGTGTGAGCCACCACACCAGGCAAGTGTCTGTTCTTTAATAGGAACTTTGTCGGAACATGGGAATCTCCTCCCCTCACCCCCACCCAGGATGAAGATCCTGGAAACTCCACTATCCTTTCATCTGGGAGGGAGGCTGTGCGTGAACACACACTGTTCCTTCCCAGCTCTGAAGGAATGGCACTGACCCTGAGTAGGCAGGAGTGGATGGAGGTATCCTGCTGCTGCAGCTTAGCTGTGCCTCTGCTCAGAGCGCTCCTGCGGCTAATTGGCCGTCGGGATACTTCTACTGTGCCAGAAGTGAGGGCACCAGGGAGGGCACATTCCCAGGGGCTACACACCAACACCAGCGGGCCCTGGCTTCATTGGAACACTCTCCTGGCAGTTGTCACCCACTCTGCCCTGTGGGCTTTTCTAGAAACTGGTAGGAAGAAATACCCTAAAATTCCCTAACAGGGAAAGCCTGCCCACCATAACCAGAGGGAAAAGGGGTCACCTTACCCGATACACACCACTCACCTTATAAACACCCATAAAAATACCAGGTAAACCCAGTACAACTAGCCTGGAAGAGGAGGGCTTCACGAGAGGGAAGGGCAGTGATGGGAGGAGAGCACATGGCACCAAATACATTACGGGAGGAAGTGAACACGTCATGAGACCCATTGGGTACAGTTAACAAACACTAATGCAAAGTAAAATGTCAAAATCCACAACCCAGAATTCACTGGGCCGCTCCTCCCGTTAACAGGTCAGCCTGTTGTGGGATATTTGTTTGGACAAATAAAGCTTGCTTGGAGTCAGAGGACGGAGCTAGCCCTAGCTAACCATAGAGGTCTGGAGGACTGTACAGAGAGGAGAGAGGAATTGGTAAGGTGGGGCGGAGACAGAATCTCGGCCCTTTTGGATGGAGGAACAGAAGAGGTAGGAAGCGTCTGTAGCTGCTCCCCTGCTTCTTTGATCTTTCAGGTTTTTACTCTGACATTGACTCCTGATTTTTATTGATAAGATTAATTAGATTTACCCATCATCAGTCCACTTCAGGTTCTCTTTGGAATTCAAGCTCTGCTTTGCAAGATGAGCTTTGTCTCTGGATTCCCTTGAGGAAGATAAGAACTTTCGCCCCTAGCGGGGCCTCACTTCCTGAGGGCTGACAGTTTGCAGCCTCACTGACTTTCTTACGTTAGTGGTTGAAGAAGTGATCTCTGACTTCCTGCTAGCCTCCCCCACCACGAGGGACTCCCTCTTGAATCACAGGCCCAAATAAACTCTTCTATAAGTTGCCTTGCTCACCATATTTTATCACAACTGGAAAGTAACTGATACAAACAATAAGGAATCCAGAGAGGCCACTCGGAGTAAATTGCAGGTCCAATGTGCTAACTGCCACCCGAAGGCCACACTTATCTTCTAAATTCTAAATGGACTGTCTTTCTGATGTACAACCCAATAACACTTTGTCACCTACCACATGAATTCTGGGACACCTCACTGGATTTATACACGCCAATGCAATTTGCATTCTACTAAAAAAAATAACAATCACCTAAAACAGAATAAATTTTTTTTCTGTACTGAATTTTACCTCATTCGGGCTGAGGAGGAAGATCTGTGGTGGAGAATACAAAGCCCTCTAGATTTCAACAGCAGTACCAAAGCAAAAGCAAATTTCACTTTGTAACTGTGCTTCATTTGCATTTATTCCACCAGGGGGCGGCAGAGAGCAGGCAGAAGGGGAAAGGCAGGATTCAGCACCTCCATCAAATCTGCCTCTAGAAAAAGCATCTTGATGAGTCATTTCATTCATATCTGTTCTTGATGAATCATTTCATTCATATCTGTATCCTTAGCAACAGCTAAGTTATACATTAGCATTTTTCAATGCTGGCCAAAGCTGCATCTGAGAATGTAACTTCGTACCTTCTAAATTTAAGACAGGTCCACTCACATCTGCAAGCTCCTCTGTGGACCACACCTTCATTCATTGTCTTTCCATGAAAAGAACTCATTGAGGGAGTGGGGCGGATGGCTCAGCGGTTAAGAGCACTTGTTGCTCTTGCAGAGGAGCCAGATTCAGTTCCCAGAACCCACATGGAGGTTCCCAACCATCTGTAATTCCAATTCTAGGAGATCCGATGCCCTCTTCTGGCCTCAAGTGAGCACAGTACCCATGTGCACAGATACACATGCAGACAAAATGCTCATAGACATAAAATAAAGATTAAAATAAAAATAAATAAATCAAAGAATTCACTGGCTCTCCTGGAGGAGCAGATGGGAGAAAGTCTCAATGCCGTTTCAATACTGAGCGTGAGTCAAATGTCATTCTAGGCTCCGAGAAGGAGCTTGGTGACAGGCGCTTCTCCCCTCAGGATCCCTGACTAAAGCCTCTCACTTCTACCCTGGAAAGCGATTAAGATCCTGTGCTCGTGTTAGAGTTGTATTGTGTGCTGTCAGTCAGATGACAGTCAACAGAGTCCTTACATGGTAGTTGTTTCTGATCAACTAAAACAAAGCCACATAACCCAGGGGAAATACGGGTGTCAACAGCTGATGGGGGCTGCAAGCAACAAGTCTGATCCTCTCGGACATTTCAGGGTGCTTTTGTTTTGGCTTTGGGAGACAGGGTCTCACTATGCAGCCCAGGCTGGCCTCAAACTCAGAGCAATCCTCCTGCTTCAGCCTCCCAAGGACTATGATTAGAGGTACATGCCACCACTAGCTCCTTCTTGGGGTAGGGGTGTT